GGCGTGTCTATCGGACATTTATGGAAATACGGGACAAATCACATCCCGTATCGGTTCAATAAGGGACGCAACAGCCAAATACGAGACGATTCCGTATTTTATGGGACGGGTGGCAACTCTACATCTGCAACAAAAATGATCATTCCTCAAAAAACAATCTGAAGGGATGCTGTAAAACACTACTGTTGTGTTCAGATTGTGCTAAAAGGAGTTAGCCAATCAGTGAAGCTATTCAAGCTTCACTGTTGCTAAACATCCGCTATGCCAGGGGTGCCCAAGTCCAGTCCTCGAGAGCTACCATCCTGCAACTTTCAGATGCATCCCTGCTTCAACACACCTGAATCAAATGAATGGCTCGTTATCAGGCCTCTGTAGAGCTGATCCCGGTCTGTTGGAGTAAGGATACTTCTAAAACTTGCAGGATGGTAGCTCTCGAGGACTGGACTTGGGCACCCCTGCGCTATGCTAACATCAGCATCTACAGTCCACATTTCTGAATAATCAGGAGTTCCTGAGACACTTGAAAGCTGAATGTGTAGAATAGCATAGTACCTGTCTGATGGTTGAATAAATAAATAACAGATTAAAAACAATAAATATCTTTGTTGTCTATTTTGTTCAGTAATGGAGCAGCAAAAATAGGTTTTTGAATTGACAATGTTTATTTAGTTAATATATGGTTTTAAATTAGAACGTGATTAATGCAAGTTAATTCATTATATGCCCTGCAATAAACTGTATGTACAACTCCAAATATGTGACAGAACTCTTTGTCTCTTTCTACATTTTCTGAATTGTAATCAGCTGTTCCCAATTGTAAAAACTACAACCTTGTTACCATGGTTTTGCATCCCAACAAGTATCCAAAAGTAAAAAAGAAAGAGCAAAAATCCCTCCGGCTGCAAAGCATCCAAAACCAAAACCATAGTTCAAATATGCAACACCTCTTCCCCCAAAAATAAGAACAAATAGAAAAAGAAGAAATCAGAACCAATGACCATTGGTTTGTTTGGATTTTTTAAAAATACAATCAAACTGATTATGACTAATAACTAATAACATTTCTCTCACCAGTGATAGTGTAGCTTTTCAAAGCTTAACTTATACAGAATATCTTCCAAATCAAGTCACAAAATGCATTATGGTAAAAAATATCAAAGATTAAAAAAACAAACCAAATCAATCATTACAACAATACAAACATGTAAAAAAAAAACAAAAAACATGCCATGTGTTTGATTGCATTAATGCCTACATCTGCATCAGTTGCTTTGTGCTTTTTCGTTTTATTTTTTGCACCTTTCTCAAAGTTGAGAAATTGCATCTTCTCAACTTTGAAAATGCAATTTAATATAACTATCACCCACTGCAGCTCTGGAAGAAAGTGAAAACGTTTTTAAAAATGACCCCTTTTCAGAAAACAAACTTTCTACGACCTGCTTTATTTCTTCAATGAATCATTAAAACTAAACATCAAACATGAATGCATAGCTACGGATCTATATTCATACATATAGACGTGTATTTACGGAAAGACTTTCAAGATGAAATTCACGACAGAAGCAAAAATAATAAGCAGTGTTATTAGGCCCTTCCTCTGTCTCGTACTTCTGTCGCTATGGCAACAGTGTTATATTTGCAGTAATTTACGTAAACTGTGGCAGGTTGTAACATAGTCCTGTCACCAAGGCTAATAACCTGAACAATGGAGATGATGATGATAATTACCACTCTGTTCTTCTTCTTTAATTTAGCTGTGTAGAAATAACAAGCTAAGTATGGTAAACAGACCTGAAATCACATACAAACAGCTTAGATCAATAAAGCATAAAGCATTCATAACTATTGGGGAAGAGCAGCTCAGCTGATAATATGAACATCACTCCCTCCACAGTTAGCTTGTTGATAGACACAGAAACTCCCCAATGCTTACAGCTCCTTCTGTAGGGTCACACTGACAGGTTTCCTGCCTACAGGATGAAATCTAAAAGTTTCTCAGTCAGTGAGAAGGTTTAAAAAATATATCCAATACTATCACATGAGATAATAAAAACAGTCTGTATAATGTGATCATGTGGAGGTGATCTCAATAAAACTAGTCACATTTATTGACTGTTGCAGTTCATGGCTAGACGTTTATGTCTTCTGACATTTTGACTGACTGGGCCAAAAAAAAAAAATCCTCTCAATCTTTTTCTATCTGTTTATTTTTAAAATAACTGAAATATATAGTAATGATATTTAATTTTTTGTAAGTTTATCTAATATTTGACAACGTGGATTGAGACACTGAAGGTTTTACAGTTGATTTGAAAGCTGAAGTTGGAGGCTAATTTGTGCTATGCTAACACACTGGAGATTGGAATTACAAGCACCATTTCAGCCAAAGTTTTGAAATCAGGGAACATTTGAAACAGTTGAAAATGTTTATGGGTCTCCACTGAGTAGGCAGGAGTGTGACTTATATCTGTCAAAATGACAGATGACCTTCAGATTTTACCATCTCCGTTTTAAAAAACAGTCAAAGATGGAAAAAATTTGGTTAACTTCACCCGTGATTTTGAAAAAATATGATCTCCAAAATCTGTCATCGACTGGAGTGTATTAGTACAAAACTCTTTGTGGATTTCTGAAGATGAGTTTACCTTTTCAGAAAACCATGCCTCCCTCATTGATATCCAGCATCTTTCCACCTCTAACTGGGATCTCATTTGTTATGGTTTGTCAAGCCTGATAACCCAAAAAATACCCTGGACACTTTGAACCTGCTCTGGAGTCCAGGCCCAGGGATATTTGTTTTCTAACCACCACTCATTATTTCATTCTGGTCCTCCTCCAGACATTTCTTCCCCTCATCTTTTTCTCCACACTTTGAAGGGAAAAACAGCTTGATCTCATTAAAATCACACAGAAAGATTCCATTTACTCTGCTGATATTTATTCACTGCACACTGTTTACCTTCCTTCTGCTTGCATCTCTTTGCCATAAACAGCCATGAATCTTTTCTTGTTTTCCACACTATATTTTATTCGCTTTTGTTCAGATATTAATACCAGTCTGTCTACAGAGGCCTATGGAGTAGGATCCAGCAGCAGCAGAATACAGATGAGCCAAAGCAGGGATTAGAGGTCAGAAAACAGACAGTGCCTACCAATACTTTCTATTTCATTCTTCATGCTGCTTCCCACCAGCGGGGGAGCATGTCTCCTCTGGTCATTTTTTATTTTATTTTATTTTTTTACCTATTTTCTGAACTGGAAGAAATTTAGCCTTTGAACCTGGCTGCTAAAAGCATATTCATCTCCCCTTGTCTTGTGGTGGCCCCATACAACTGTTCCTGAATTTTCATACATGGCATCCTAGTTTCAGATGAATTATTCAGACACATTTCTCTTTAGCCATCACGACACTTTCATATCACACAGATGTGGGAAAGGAGAAAGAAAAAAAAATCTAAAATGAAAAGTAGCAAAGGGGTGGAACCTGAAAGAGGAAAGCTGATTGGTATCGTTCAGATTTCACGTTCACTGGCTGAAAAGCAACAAGGCTGAGCACCCAGAAAGAATGCCACAATTTAGGTGTAATTTTGTACCCATGCTGGCCTGCACTAGGTGCATAAATGAATCCATTTTCAACAAGAATGGATGTCTAACACAACATGTTAGAGTGTGATCAGGAGTGGAACGATAGTGTTGTCAGGCAGTCAGTGAAAATAGAGATCGGATGGTTTATACAAAGGTTTAACAGCATTTGATGAACTTTAGTAGAAATCCCACCATGGTCTGTTATGTTTGTACTGTTCCAAAGTCTTGCATGTGTCAAAGAATACACAAAAACATATGAGGTATCCTCAGTCCTTAAGTATGTCTCTTTTTTTATGAATGTGCAATCTGCATTGAAAACAGACTTATGGAATCAGACCAACGCAACTTTTCCAGCATTTACACTCTAAGTGTCTCTGTTGGGTTCCTGGGTGTTTTTTCTTTTGTTGTGTTGCTGTTTTTCCTTCCATCCTTTAGGGGGCGCCTGGAGGTTATTCCTGGAGGGCATGGACCGGCAGATCTGAATCACCTGCACCGCATTATCTCATCTAGAGGAGCATAAGAGGAGGAGGCAGCCTACACATCGGTGCCAGAGTGTTTGCCAGGTTTGGTACTTCAGGCCACCTGTTCTACTTTAGTGATTGCTCTCGTCGTGAATTCCTTGTGATATTGTTTTTGTGCCTCCTTCCCAGAAACTCTCCTTGAGACACCGGTGGATTCTACCCACTGGATGGCCAAGAACCCGTTACCTTCTTATTGTGACCAGATCTCCCCGGATCTCCAAGTAGGCTGTTTTCCTTGCTCCTGCCATAGAGAAAACCTGGTCTGATCTTGTCCGCCCTCCAGTGCCGCCCCCCACGTTCAGCAGCAACCCCCCGGCTTCAAGACATTCACCCTGGAACCATCATATCCCTCCCTGGTCCTGATCATCTCCACCAAGAGTAAGTCCGTTTCTATTTTTCCTGCAAGTCATCATTTCCCTCAGCTGATGAACTCCCCATTATTCTCTCATCCTCTAGTCACAGTCCAGAAGCGCTGATCCAACCCCGGACCTGATTGCCTTTTTGATTATTGCCTTCTTTATAATATCATTTTACTGATTTCCCTTGTACTGTGGGTATTCTTGCATGTGGGTCAGAAGATTAAAACCTGACATGACGGTCTCGTTCTCCATTCTTTGATGGACTGTAGAGAGCAGTGTTGGGCACCTATGGCAAACATGCAACACTACACAATGTGTCTGGAATTAATAAATACAGTTATTAGAAACATGGCAAATCTAAGGGCAATGATGACTTTATGGGCAGAATCATGAAGAAGCCTGTGTGTGATCCTCCACTAAGGAGTTGTTGCTCATCCGCCATGTTTCTCTGTAGTCACTGAATGTTGAAATGTACAAATATTTGGACATGGCTGTGAAAATATGTAAGTTTTCATGTGGTGAATGACAGTTAAGAGGGAGAAGGAACAGTAAGAGAATATTGGGAATCTGCCTCTATACTTGCAGAAAGAGGGAAAAGACCAAACAAAACGGAGAACAAGAGAAACCATAGCAACAAAACATGTTTATGTATTTAGTGACACGCACAGCCCAAGTCAGTATGTTTGTGAACACCTTGTCCATACTTGAGTGAACACCTGTGTTGTACTCATAGTTATGGTTCATGGTTTGTAATTCCAAGCATCAGACTAACTTGTTTCAATTACAAAAAGGTTCCAGTCATAAGAGGGAAAAAGACGTCTACTTCCATGTCATGTAGTAGACGTAGACAGCAGAGTGGTGACTGCTTCCTGCTATCTGGCCCCGAGTCAGGTGTGCCAACAGGAAGGAGAGGTGTAATGTTATTCTGACACAGTGACTGGGGTCAGTCAAAGGCCGCATTAGATGAGATGCATCTGCTCAGCTCTCATGGTCAGTCAGTGCTGAAGGGTGAAGGCCTTGGGACTGTCCAAGACAAGGACGAGTTAAGGATTAATACTGAACAGCTACCAATCACAAACCTCAGTATGAAGCTGCGCTTTTCCTTGCAAAGGTAATCAGACACTTTAAACTTTTCCATGTTTTGATAAGTTACAACTAGAACGTGTTTTATTGGGATTTTATGTGATAGACTGACACAAAGTAGTTGCAGAACAGTAAAGAGGAATTTCTCCTGCCGTTATGTCTTCATCAGTTCTGAACTTTTTGCAACTCCAAACACTAATCAACATTAGTTTCACTATCACTAAAGCACTACACCAACACAGTATTTAATGGAAGCAAATGCTAAATTTCATTCAAATTATTTCTGCTCTTGAAAGACTACAACCCCTGAGCATGTTCTATAATGTTTATAGATAGTGTATTTATGTTTGTGTTCTCTACTGTCTGTGTTTTTGTTCTCATATGTTTCTTGGCTGAAATAAAGGAATAAAAGAAAACAGGAAGAGGAAACAGTTCTGTATAAACAGTCTTCAACCACAAAATAAGAGCATTAATATAAATATCCAACAAGTTAACTAAGCAGTCAATAACCAAAACTTTATCACTCAATCAAATTTTATTTACATTTTGTTTGTATAGCACATTTCAGCAGCAAGACATTTTGTCAATTAGATGTTTATATATATATATATATATACACACACACACACACTATTCTATGTGTGCTTTGGATTTTCTGTGCTGATGAATTTTTTGCAAAGCAATAAAAGCTGGGTAGCTCTTGCAAAATGGAGCCACATTTCCCTCAGCCCACTGGCTGCAATGTTGACACCTTGAGATGCCGTGAGACCTAAATCCTGAACATCATGGCATGGAGTGCATCCCAGTTTTCCATGTCTGGCATGTAACTATTCATTTTAGTTTTTAAACTGGTTATATTGATCCTGTGTCCAGATAGAGGGATAATCAGTAGCCCAGCATCATGACCTGTTTGTTCTGAAGATCCTGCAGCTTCCATTTCATCATGGCGCCTCCTCACCCTGACTCTCATACTGATAGGAGGAACAACAGAGCTCTGTTAAGTTAAAAGCACATCTTCTGAAGTTGGGATATTTTTCCTCCAACAGGTTCCAGACCCTCAAACCAGATGTTGGACTGGATTTTATTTCAATGTCATTTGTGAATGTTAGCTTCTCATTTTCAACAGTGGAGTTATAAAGGTTGAAATAGGTCATCATTTTGGAGAAAGTCTCATCAACATCAATATTTCCACTAAATAAGAGCCAAAAAATTTTGATAAAGGAAAAATGTCTCAGACTCTGAGCTCAAAGCAAGATGCCAGAGAGCACCAAACTATTTTTATTTAATATCAGACAATGAATTTAATGTCACATAATTCAAAGCCATTTGTTTGTTAAATACTTAAACATATAACCCGAACCCAATCAACTCAAAACACTCCCACCTTTTTATTTTCAGTCTCTCTTTGTCATTTAAACACACCCATTGCCGTGGCAACCGCAGTTACTTTAAAAAACATAACATGCAGTCCGTTACGATATTATCTTTTTCAGGCTTGATATTTATTTGGCGATTATTAATAAGCGTTTTCATGAACACAGCGGTGGTTGATCAGTTAATTTTAAACTCCTGCTCTGCTCGTTATTTTGGTAATGGAACGAAACGCACAGAATTTTGCGCAACATCTTGTTGAAACAATAATCACTGAGATTATTATTGTTGTTGGGTCATTAATTTGAACACGTTTTGTTGATTTTTTATGCTGTTATTTAATAAAGTTATGAACATTTTGATAAGCCAATCAGAGGAGGACGTGCTGGTCTCAGCCTCCTTCAGTTTGTCACCTAATGCCCAGATCGACTCAAAACCTTCCGCGATCGACATGTTGCACCTCTGCTCTCTAGCAAAGCACGAACAGTTCAGAAACAATATGAAATGGGGGGAAAAAAGCTATTTATTAACTGATTAAGTTGTGTTTTAGATTGTTCTTGGAAAAACTAATCAGTCACGGCTGCACAGTGAACCCAATGATTCTTTACAGCAGACAGCCGCTCCCCTCTCTTGCAGGTACTGCGTACCCCGCTAAATCTTTAAGAGGTACGCAGTACCCGGCCGTATACTGGTATACGTATACCCGTATACGTATACGATATACGTAAAGTAGGTATACCCGCCTACTTTCACCCCTGCCCGCATCCCTTTACACTTCTAAGAGAGGGGGACGACACCTGCAGCCCTTTAACACAATTGTCCAACTTTATTTAACAAAAATGTTACTAAAAAGGCAAGTAAGTTAGCATTTATGTCAAGCTAAGTGCGCTAAACGATTTCAAAGTTAGCAGAAGCACAGAAGCCCTAAACAAAGAGCATGGGAGAAAAACTTCAGGAGATGCTAAAGCCACCAGTGACACCTAGCAATGCCTAGTTACAGTACTTTGAGGGATTGCCATTTTGGCAAACATTTACTTTCATTTAACATTCATGAGGTTTACATAATATAATGCTTAATTATAGTGCTTCATTTTTTATATTTAAATTAATAGTTTAAATACTATTCAACAGCAGTTTACCTTCTTTTAAAAAATGTCTCAAGATTTTATTTGTCTTTCCATTTTTGATCAGATGTCTGGAATATGTCTTAATTTTTTTCCTCATTTAACTAAAAACAAATCCTAACACAGACTCAGGATAGGATAATCAGTCTGGTCTGTGGGGAAGAAGAATGGGAATTTTGTCCGGCCAGTTGGCATTACTCTTGTGATGTGCTAAGGGATTAAAAACTTACAAATGAGTTTAAAAGGAAAGATTAAAATGTCCATTGAAGGTTCAGGAGGTATGCAGGCATCCTAACTAAAATGGTTGTCTGACCTTTCAACTTAATCAAAATACAAGTATTCCTTTAGTGGCTCCTGGAGGGGAGGGACTGTCTATAAAAATTAGTATAAAATAGCAACTCATTTCTGATCTAAAAATACAGTGAAATGCAAATCCCACTTCATAATGCATTGCTTCATTTAATGACAAAAGGCTCGAAACGCTTTTTGCTTTGCTTTACAAGCACCTCGGTGTAATTTCATGACCCATGTGTTTCCCCAACTACTACTTTTGTTTCTTCTTTGTAATTAAGGCCCATGTTTTATAGATGTCTTGCTGTTTTGTAATTAGAGTCTCTGCATTATAGATGTCTGCAGAACTACATGGGAAGGAAGACATGTGACGCAAGTCTTGCACTTTTGTTTTTTCACCTCTAAAATGGAGAGTGCGCCCACAGAGCGGCGCGGGCTGAGGTCTGCACTGCTCCGTCCTGGAGCTATGCATTATTGAGTGTTGTCCTCGGCAGGGGGTTGCAACACACATCCTTACAGCACCATCCGAGAAGATGGGAGTGAGGCCTTGCCAGGCAGCGGTGCGCGTCTCATCTGATGTACTGCTACAGCCTTATAAATTAGTCTGACATCAATGGGAGAGAAAGGAGAGAACTACCGCATAGAGACAAAAATGGCCTCACTTAGCAACACGCACCCATCCGTCCATCCATCCATCCATCTGTCCGTCTGTCTATACCCAGATGAAATGGTGCCTAGTAGGAAAACTGAACTTTTATTACTAATTTGTCTGATTTTACAATACCTGATGGCAGTTATGCAACAAGAAGGAATAAATGATGACACTGAATCAAAGGGTGAACCCACAGCAGCTCTATTACTAATCTCTGGTTCATTTGCCTAGAACAGGGGTGGGCAATCCTGGTCCTGGAGGGTCGGTGTCCTGCAACTCTTAGATGTCTCTCTGGTCCAACACACTTGAAACCAACAGCTGAATCACCTCCTAAGTGCAGTCAAGTTCTTCAGAGTCCTGCTTACAACTTCATTATTTGACTCAGGTGTGTTGAAGTTGAGACACATCTAAAAGTGGCGGGAGCCCGCCCATCGAGGCCTGGAGTTGCCCACCCCTGGCCTAGAAGGTCCGGTTTGTTTGGGGAAACGCAAATGTGCAATTGAACTTTGATTTGGACTAAAAAAGTGAACTCCACGTCTGTGTCCGCCTACAAACCTCAGCCTTGGTTTGGTTGAAGTGAACTCCAGAGTGGTTTGAATGGTTTTTATGAATGTCAGGCGGACTAGAGACCTCTCCAAGAGCAGGAAGCGAACTATAGCGCAGGGCATTCTGGGTAAATGCATCCAAAGCAACCACGTGAAACTAGCGCTAGCCATTTAAATAGCTTGTGTTGTTTTACCAAAGATGAACAAAATCCTACAACAGAAACAGAAAATATGACACTCCATTTTTTCCCATTTCATAAAAAAGGAAGTTGCGCTCAGTGTCTT